CCATCCAGCCAGGTTTTATCCAGCAAAGGGTGTTCCTTTGAAGACAGTACGACAGGTCTTGCATGACCATCACCATTTGTAGCATTTAGGGAAGCTCCCCTGGAACTCTTGGGATTCAGGAAGATGTTGGAGAATACCCAAATTTTGTCCGACCAGCAGCAAAAGCCTGGTGCAGACGGGACGGCAGCCGGTGGAAAGTCACCTCCATGGGCACGGCCGCAAAGATTTGGTCCTTCTAGGGTTGGACGTAACCCAGCAGCAATGCTGTTGCTCTTATCTGGCTGACCGCGGGCCAGCGACAGCGGTGCTGGCACACGAGCCCGTTCTCGGGTATTTTGAACAGGGCTTCGCGCCAGCACAGCTCATCGGGGGAAATCACACCTTGGCACAACACCACACGTAAGCTCCGCTGGCACGGGCTTCCCAGCGCGGGCACGGGCTTCCCAGCGCAGGCATGGTCTCACTCGGAGCGAGGGAACCATTATCAGACCATCTCTCCCGCAGGAAAAATAAAATTTCTTAAGGAGAGGAATAAAAGCTAAAAAAACCTTCTCCCAGCCCTGCTGTGTTCCCCCGGTCGCCCTCCTTCCCGTACCTGAGGCCAGCTGCCCAGGCAAGGTCTGCATTTATCGTGAAACAGGTTCTGGAGAGAAGTCTTCTGCTCGCTGGCCATCATCTTATGGAGAGCTTCGTTTTCCTCTCCTTCGCGCTCCAAAATCTGCAGGAAACAGTGAATTTCAGCGTCAGTTCCTAGCTGCTATCACAAGGTGACATTATTTTCCTCCACTGCATCGGTCGTGTTAAAATCAGTGTGTATTTATGGTCAACAAAAGGGGAGCGTTGTTTGACGTTCCGATACCTTGCACTGGGAGCAGCACTCTTTGTTATTTGGGAATTCAGGGGCCTTTGGAAAATATTGCTTGAGCTTCTCCCAGGCTTCCCTGGAAACCACCCTCCGGTCATTTTCGGAGATGCACAGGTCACCTGCAGGGAGAGAACAGAGAGAAAAAGGCTTTGCTCTGAATGTTTTTTGCAGCCCCAACGAGATGGAAGAGATTACAGGGTCTAAATGTGGGGGAGGATATTCACGCACTTATCAGCCAACGCCGCGTCAGCAAGAAAAGAGCGCAGCTAATATGCAAAGTCACCTTCAACTTCCTTATCGTTTCCTTGTTTAGACAGGAAAAAAAAAAAACATCTGACTTTAATTCATAGAAATGTCCTTTAGATTGCCAAGCTCAGGAACCCGAGCAGCTGATCAAACACGAGCGGCTGTAAAGAGACGCTGGGAAAAGCCAAAGAGGGTGCAGGGCTACCGCTTTCTGATCTTGGCTAGTCAGAGCGACGTTTTTATGGCGACTCCGTTTACCCAGCTGCAGACTCACCCCGTGCCCCGTGAAACAGGAGCCAGGTGCTTTCCGCATCCCTGAAAAACAAAATTCCCATCGTACAACCTCAGGCGGTTTTGCGTGCCCTATCCGAGCACCCCAAAATGCGGAAAGGACGGATTTTGCACCCTACATCTGCTCTAGGGAATAACCGGGGGGTGACAACACGACGGAGGATTTCCCAGCCATCCCCCAGACTGGGTTATTTATCCTGATGCTCAAACAGCTCAAAAAAAACCCCAAAGAAGGGTTTAGCAGGAGGCATTTGTCATTTTGGTGACAGCTGTCATGGAAAGGTCACGCTCCGGCACTTGGACACCACGCCTACGTGTGATGACACGTGCCCCAGCCAAAAACCACGGCTGGGGAAAAGCGGAGAAGGCGACAGCTCAGGGATTCGACCAGGGTCGATGATGGCCGAGGGGGAAACACAACCACGTCCCCTCCGTGACAGCAGCTGGGACGTCAGGGCATGGCCGCGGCGAGGAAGAAGAGGAGCAGGCGCTGCAATGCCAAGATATAATCCGGATCTGGACACAGCACGGGAATATTCACGGGTTTCGCCAGCAAGAGGGAAGCAGAACAGCAAAGTCGCGGCACTGAGCAGGATCCAAGGGCCCGATACATTATTTTTTGCTTTTCTAGAGGCTGATGAGCTCCAGAAATAAGAAATGGAGAAAAGGCTCCTTCCTCCCCGCCCACCAGGAGCTCTTTAACATGACAAGCAGCTCCTCCGGCCGCAGAGCCGGCAGCTTTCCTCCAGCCAAGCTGGATTGCTGCCAGAGCCGAAAGGGAAAAAAATTAAAAAAAATAGCAACATTCCCCTCCTGCTTCTCCTCTAATGAACAAAGGTCGGGCCGGACGGCTTCGACTTGCCACTTGTTCTGCATCAAACACAACGGATCGGCTCGGCTTTGCCATTTGAGGAGGCAGGAGGCTTTCCCGAGCCGGCAAGGATGGGGAAAAAAAAAAATAATACAAACCCTGAGGCTGTACAAACAAGTGCTGTGACACCGTGTGATTAATGCAAACGGTTTAATACGCCGTCGAGAGAAAAAGGGGAAAAATCGGCTCTGGGTGTGCGCGGAACAAGTGTTTTGCCATCTGGAAGATGCTGATCCTGACCCTGCTTCCCCCTCGTGCCGTCCAGGGACGTGTTTTGGGCACGGACATCAAAGGAGGCTGAAGACGGTATCTGGAAAAAATTATTTGGTGGAGTGGGGCAGCTACTGGAGAGAGAGAAATTGGAGAAAAAAAATGCAACAAGACTCGAGAAGGGAACGCCCGGATGGCATTGCTGGAGGGCAGCCAGACCTCCCAGAGCCGGCGCTGGCTTTTCCAGAGCCTGCCATGAAGGCTGGAGCCTCCTCCACGGCAAAATTAAAGCCATAGGACTGAGTCTACGGATTTGCTGACACAGTCCAGAGGGAAATTTTAAAGGTGGAAAGGTTGTTTGCTGCGAGGAATGGGAGGTTAGCTCCCGATGATGGACTCTGACCTGCCAGCGGCCCCGGATTTAATATTATTTGTTATAATACGACCCAAAGTCCCAGCTCAACCAGTGATTTACTAGCAGCACGTTTTCCAAGGCTTATTGCCCTGTTTTTACGATGTCCGGCCACAGTAAGCGTTTCATCACCACGCTGTGCGCTTTTATTTCACAGCAGCAGCCTCGTGGAGATGGGAAATACGGCGTTAAAGGCTCAGAAAAACAGCGAAAGCCGCGACAAAGCGCTTAAACGGTGCTTTAAAGTGAGGCTTTATCAGCCACGACTGGACATCCTTGATGAGCCTCGATGGCAGGAGGTGTGTGGCTAATTTACAGCATGTTTCTTTCCTACTAGGAACAAGATCGAACATCGCTGGCAGGGAAATTGATACCTCCAAACAGGAGCTTTACGAGAACGGGGTGTGGTGGGTTTAGCGACGTACAAGCTAAAAAACCGAGATTTAAACAATGGGGTAGCCAAGGATGCAGCTAATGGACCGACATGTAGCAGAACTACAACCATCGGGTCAAAACCTTGTGTGAAGGGATCCCAAAGTGCAGCAGGTTGGGAAATTGGGATCGTTAGAGGTCCCAGGTAAGGTAAATGCTCCGGTTTTAACACAAACCGAGAGAACATGTGGATACTCTCAGCTCCCACCTTGACCCATTTACCCCGTCCTGTTTTGCTCCTCGTACTTTCAGATCTTCTGAGCGGCTGCAGATCTTTGGTGCTGCCCTCTCTCCATCAAACCGCTTCGTTAGGAAGAGGAAGGGATGCTCCCTTCCGCAGCGGGCATTTCCCGCAGCATCTCTGCGCTTACAGCCCTTTCCCTGCCTTAGAAACCTCAGACTGCAACGTGACAGCGCTCGCAAAGAAATTGTCAAAGTTTGAGCGTCAAGAAACACCACGCAAATGAGAATTAAGCGCGTTTCCTACTCGTGTCAGCCTTCGATGGAGCAAAGGCTGCAAGGTTAATGTCTCCAGAGGTGGGCAACAACGGGTATATTCAGCTCCAGCCCCCGCAGAGACTTACCATGTGGGCAAACGATGTCTTCATTAAAATTTAACTCCTCTTCCTCCTCTCTCTTCTCTTCATTGGATTCATCTAATTAAAAAAAAAAGTAAAAAAAATTACAAGAAGATTGCAAAGTTCCTCTCCCAAGGAAAGGAAAAAAAAAAAAATCTTTTGGAGGAAAGGAGGACGGTTGTCTTACAAATTGCAGCAAAGCCCTGAACCCAAGGGAGGCTTTGGAAGCAAATTTGTTCTCCTCAAACGCCTCTGGGCAGTGGGATGACAGCCCACAGGGCACGTAGGAGTGCTTTGAAGTGCTCGGGAGCACAAGCCGGTCCTTTGTGAGATTACAAAAGATGCATTTGTTCCGGCTAAAACACCGCGGGGGTTCCCTGCTCCCAGAGATCTCGGAGTTTAACACAAGTCTAGGTACGAGCGCAGGGAGGAAAAAACCTTCCTAGCAAAATCCGAAGTCTGCTTTTTGCCTTGAGGCTCCTGATCTAAACCAGATGCTGCCTGACAAACCACGCAGAGCCTGCCAGGGGTTTGACGAGCTCCGTATTAACGTAGAAATTAGAGTTGAGAACCGGAGCGCTCTAGACAGAAGCGCCAGCCACCGAACTGGAGCATCACAAACGCGATGATGTGTCAGGAGCAGCCTCTAACGACCCGCCCGACAAGAAAGTTGGCTCATGAGCAATCCCGATGTGCTACTGGGAGTTTCAACATCTCCTGAACCAAGGTCAGCACCGAGGAATGAGGAGGGGCAACGCAGAGCAGAGGGACCCTGTTCTCAGTGACCGGAGCTCACGGATGTGATCAGGGCTGGAGCCTTCCCAAGATGGATGCCGTGAGCCCATCATCTCCCATCGCACTCAAACAAACTTCTCACCCTTGGTTCCGAAACAAAAAACTCAACAAAATACCAAGTTTCCAAATGTTTAAAGAGCAGAAGGCAAATAAAAAAATCCATCTATTCTCATAAACTCATGATAAAGGCACAGAAAAAGACTTCCATTCATGATTTTTTTTTTCCTAGCGTTCAATTCATGATTTTTTTTTTCCTAGGCTGTGTTTTGCCAGAGCTGCTTTACCAGCTGTGCTGTTTCACCGCCCAACCTTCGCAATAAACATCTTCATCCCTTCCTCAGGATAATTTTCATGTTTTTTTCTCCCTTGCGCTCTCTCATTCAGATAAAAGCAGATGAAAAGAGCGTGTGTCCAGGGCAGGTAATTTTATACAGTTTTGTAAACCTACTTCTCCGAGTGCGAAGATCACCCAGAAGTTTCAGAGCTTATAGAATAAAAACCTCCTTAAATAAAGGAGCTTTTTATTTGATTTACTCCCCTTTCCTCCCCACTCATCCAAGGGAAGCAGAACAGCTCCGGGAGCACCTGACGTGTCTTTTGTTAGGAGGGATCAGAGCGGGTGGCTCTCTCCGAACTACCTTTGTTTTGTGCGTTTCCGTTCATTTTGCCATTGCTGTGCTCCGCGTCTTCGTCTTGCTCATGGAGTTGCTCCAGAGCCAACTGCCGCCAGCTCCGCAAGGACGCCTTCCCGACCCAAAACCCGTCGTTCCTGCAGAGAGAGAGAACAGTGCTGGCACCACGAATCGCAGCTCCCTTCTCCTTCACAGCCCAAACAGGCAAATCTTTAGGGGAAAAAAAAAAAACCTATTTACGCTCTTCTAAAAAAATCCCTGACAATGTTTGGAAGAGTCAGGACTTACATACCCCTTGACTGTGATCTTCAGCAGGTTCGTTACGGTTTTGTAGTCTTCGTTTAACTGGTTTTTCAGCCGCAGGATTCGACACCGTTCTACCACGCAGTCCTTGCAAAGTGCTTTGACTGGGGATGGAAAAAAAGAAATAAAATTTATTGCAGAATTTATTACTGAGCGTCTCACTGGTTTCAATGCGCTCGGACAGGTGTGCACCGACTATCCTGCCTCCTGAGCGGAGATTTCCCGTGGAAATGAAGAGATCCCCGAGGTTCCTGCCAGATCAGGCCACATTTGAAGCTTAAATGAGCGTGAAAACGCTTCAGATGAGGTGCGATCTGTTCCACCAGCTTCACAGCTCGCCGCTGAAAAAAACACAGCTCCCCGCTGCCGCTATCAACAGCTGGCAATTGCAGCTGCGAGGCAGGTCACGCCAACACGCGCCCGCGGGAGGCAGGACAGCTTAGGCATATGCAAGGGAAAAAAAACAACCCCAAAACCCAACCTATAGCATGGCATTTTGCCAGTTAAACCCAGAAAAAACCGCAAAACAACCTCCTGCAAAGCTTCACGGGACCACTGGAGTGGAAACCCTGCAGCTGGGGGTGTATTTTTATCTGGGAACACGAGGGTCGCAGCCAGGGAAGCAAGTCGGAGAACGCGGAG